GCTGCGTTGCGTCAGCACGAGCCCCCCCGCCCCCCACGGCCGCTGCACCGAACAAAGGGCCGGCGGGAGGGGAGGGGAGGGGAGGCAGCGCTGTTCTCCCTGCCTCTGGATTTGGACTCCCGGGGGTCCGCCTGGGCTGGGCACCCCCAGGACGGGGGATGACGGGGGAAGCGCTGGCCTACCCTCTTCATGCCCCCAAACCCCTCATTCCGTCTGGAATGAGCGTCTAGGTTGCTGAAGTGGGGGAGGGATGTTAACATGATCCCCACCCCACCCCCGCCCTGCCCCCGGGGCTGGCACCCTCCCTGGCCCTGCCCGCGACCCGGACTCCCCCTCCCCCCAGGGCAACCTGACCCCTCTTTGCAACTGCTAGTGGGAGGGGCTGCTGTGTGCCTGATGTCCCCCACACAGCTGGGGCTCTGGACCCCTCCCTGGCACAGCGGACACCCAGGAGCGGGGGTGCTGCTGTCCTGAGGCCTGCCAGCGCTGGCCCGGGAGGGGGCTGTCCGTCTCCCCAGGCCCGCTGCCCGGGAGCTCCTGGCCTTGCACACACGGGGATCCATGTGTGCTGTTTGTGCAGGCGCCTCTGCGTGCACAGCCACGAGCGTTCAGGCTCTCTCCCACCCCAGCCAGCCCGGGCCGGACTCGGCCATTTTGTATGAAAGAGGCATTTTGGGATGGGAGGGGCAGACTCTGAGAAGCTCTCTGACAGACCAGCACCCACCTGGGATGAGCAGAGTGTGTGTCCTGAGCGTGACCCCTTGGGTACACCCACGTACCCGGGCCTGTGTTCTGGACAGACCCTCGTGGGATGGGGGCAAAGACCCTGGGAGGCTGCTGGTGGGGACCGGGTTCGGGGGGACCATGTCCCTGGGAGAGACCCTCGTGGGATGGGGGCAAAGACCCTGGGAGGGAACTGCCAGGCTGCTGGTGGGGACCAGGTTCGGGGGGACCATGTCCCTGGGACGGTCCCCGGGCACTGTCCCCAGCCCCAGGGCCCGGCTCCTCTGGGAGTCCTGAGAGTGGCAGCCCCCCACCCTCATGGCTGTGGCCCTTCCCACACAGGCTCGTTGTTCATCCTTGGAAGAGCCCTGTGTCTCCTCACCAGTGACCCTCCCACCAGCACCTTGTCCCCTCCTGGCTGGGCGCCAAGGGGGTTCCTGGTGGGACTGGCTCTGGTCAGCCGGGTCCTGGCCTGAGGCCACCTCTGGCACATGCACAGAGCCCGCCCACACAGCCCAGGGGCCCCCTGGTCTGACTGGCGTGGCTGCGGGTGGGGGATTCCTGTGCTCTGGGCATAACGTCCCTAGCTGGCATCATCTCCTGGGCTCCCTCATGGGCTCGTCCCTGGCCCCGAGTGTTCTGTCTCTGCCTGGGTCTGAAATGGTTGCCCCTTCTGTGCCACCTGCCTCCTCAAAGCTGCAGTGTCCAGTGTCGGAAGCAGAGTGTGTGGGGACCCTGGTCAGGCTCTGCTCTCGCGTGAGTGAGGTCTGTGTCATCTTCTCGGTGACCCTGAATCAAGACGGGGGGCCTGAGGCCTGGGAGGCCTTCGGAGGGGTACGCCCTCACTGTCAAGGCAGCCCTGCCCTTCCCGCTGCCGCCTCCTTGCTCCCAGCTCACTGGTGTGCAGCTCAAACTCAGAAGGCCACACAGCAGCGGGGACTTGAGGGAGCGGGGGAAGGCAGGGGGTCTCTAGTGGCTGTTAGGTTAGGCACGTAGGTCTAGTCACAATCTCTGCAGACCTCAGTTTTCCCATCAGCAACGTCGGTGCAGCTGCTCCTCGCCCCCAAGGAGTGGCGGAGATGACCTCTCAGGGCTGGCCCAGGGGCTCTTCAGAATGGTGACACATTCGATGTCACATCCATCCTGCTGTTGGTGCTCACTGCCCATCCCCCAGCCTCTGGGTGTGGAATTCTCCGTCCCCAAGCCCAGCCCCGCCTGACTCAGGCCTGTACCACCCTCACCCATGGGTCTCCCCTCAGGCCCTAGCATCCTAAGGATGCGGCTGCCCCTGTGCCCCG